CGTGAAGAGGGTATTCATTGATACCGGGAGTTCGGTAGATGTGATGTTCTACGACAGTTTTGTGCAGATCAACAGGGAGCTGAATATGGAGCTGAAACCGGTGACCACGGCGCTTTATGGCTTTAATGAGGGAGAGGTTATGCCGATGGGGGAGGTCAGTCTGGCCGTTGCGTTAGGATCAGGAGAGTTGAGAAAGGTGCGCATGGTGAGATTTGTGGTCGTAGGCGCTGAGTCGTCCTATAACATCATCATGGGACGGACGAGCTTGAACGCATTCCAGGCGGTCGTATCCACGTACCACATGACGATCAAGTATCCGGTGGGCGAAAACGTAGGGGAGATTGTCGGAGATCAACTCACTTCGAGAAGTTGCTATCAAACGACAGTCAGCAATAACAAACAATTGGCGAAAAGGCAGGCCGAGTCAAATGGGGAAGAGATTAATCGACCAGGGGGATCAAGATCGAGGGAGGACAGGCAAAAAGTGGAGAAAGGTAAGGAGAAAATGGATATCCAACCTGGGGAAGAAACTGAGAAGGTTCAGATGATCGAGGGATGTGAAGGGAGAAAGTTTAGGATAGGAAAGGATTTGGGAGAACCTGTTCGGTCGAGGTTGATCCGGTTGGTTAGGGAGTTCGCTGATATTTTTGCCTATACGGCAGAGGAGTTAACGGGAATAAGTGCGGAGGTGATCGAGCATCGGCTAAACATCGACCTCAGCGTGAGGCCGGTGAAGCAGAAGAGAAGGCACCATGGGGCGGAGATGGATAAGATCATCGAGCAGGAGGTCGAGAAGCTATTGGGAGCGCGACATATTAAGGAGATTCAGTTCCCCGAATGGCTATCAAACACGGTGATGGTGTCGAAGGCGGAAGGGAAGTGGAGGATGTGCGTTGATTTCCGTGATCTAAACAAAGCATGCCCGAAGGACTTATATCCGCTTCCTAGGATCGACCAGCTGGTCGACTCCACAGCCGGGTGTGAGCTACTCAGTTTGATGGACGCATCCCAGGGGTATCATCAGATCCCGCTGGCGCGTGAGGATTGGAAAAGGGTCAGCTTTGTAACAAGCCGTGGAACATACTGCTATGTGGTGATGCCTTTCGGTCTAAAGAATGCGGGGGCGACATATCAGAGGTTGGTGGATAAAATTTTTAAGGAGCAGTTGGGGAGGAACATGGAGGTGTATGTGGATGATATGCTGGTAAAGAGCAAAGAGGAAATTGATCATGTGAATGATCTAAAAGAAACATTCATGACCCTCCGGAAGTATGGGATGAAGTTGAATCCCGCTAAGTGCTCGTTCGGGGTCAAATCTGGAAAATGTTTGGGCTATATGGTCACGAGGAGGGGGATCGAGGTCAATCCGGAGAAAGTGAGGGCAGTGATCGAGATGCAGCCCCTCTCGAAGGTGAAGGAGGTGCAGATCTTAACTGGTCGAATAGCAGGCCTGAGCCGTTTTATTTCTAAGGTAGCCGAGAAAAGCGGGCCCCTATTTATGACACTCAGGAAGAGCTCGAAATTTCAGTGGACAGAAGAAGCACAGAAAGCATTGGAGGAGTTGAAGAGGATGTTGGTCGATCTACCGCTATTGGCAAAACCGGCGCAAGGGGAGGACTTGGTGTTATATGTATCCATCGGTGATACGGTGGTGAGCTCTGTGTTATTGCGGGAGGAAGGGACAGCCCAGTTTCCTATCTATTACGTGAGTAAGGTGATGCAAGGGGTGGAAAGAAGGTACTCAGAGATTGAAAAAGGGGCCTTGGCGGTGGTGGTCACTGTAAGGAAGCTGAGACCATATTTCTTGGGACATAGGGTGAAGGTCCGAACGAACATGACATTGGGAGAAACGCTGGGTCGACCCTCCGTGTCGGGGCGGTTAGTCAAATGGGCGGTCGAGCTGAGTGAATACACAATTATCTACGAGCCAAGGAGAGCGATTAAGGCTC